AATAGGAGAGGTGCAGTGTCTCCCAAAGAGTGGGGGCTCTTTCCAGAAGTAGGAAGAGAGGCTGGATAGACAAATACAAGCATGCATTTCTGTTTTTAGATGTTAATTTTATCTGTCTCTTCCACTCAGCTGTGAAGAGTCTAAGTGCAGGGATGTGTCTTACTCATCCCTCTGTCACCCGTGCATAGCCCAGCAGCAATTGGCACTAAGAAGGTGATTGATACAAAATGATTAGTTTGTGGGGGATGCTGAGGTGGAATGTCCATGGAGGGTGTTAAAAGGCAGGGATATGGCTGTGATCTAGGTCCCTCACCTTTTTATATGACTGTTGCCAGAGTGAAAAGTGTTGAAGAGACCAGGGCACATGCCTCCATGCACGATCCTGAACCAGTGCTGCAGGCTGGGTGATCACGTCAGCTAACCTTAGGATACTGATGACGCAGACTCAGACTCCCAGATTTCTGAATCAGGTAAGAACAGAGGTGTTTCCAGAGAAGGAGGAAGCAGAGAGGGATGTTGGAGAGGAAGGGAAGGGGATGTAGGAGGGGTGTAACCATTGAGAAGTTAGGATGGAGCACAAAGACTGAGGGTGATTTTTTTTTCAAATAACCACAAAAACAAGAAAAGTTATACTGAATGTGGCCAAAATATTGAATAATTAAAGGAAGTTAAGTGTACAGGAGATGCAGCTGTGTGGACACTGACAGATAGCAGTAAGTTGGGGGTGGCAGTGAGCTGAGCTCCAGAGGACAGAGAACAGCCCTACGAAAGCACTGCAGCCTGTTGAATTGCACCACATGCTGAGAGTTATTCTGTTTTCAATTTTCTATATTGATGAAAAGCTGTAAGATATTCATGTGGTCTTATAATAAATAGATTAATGATCTTTTGTAAATGATGTGGATTTGTGTTAATTTTTATAATTTATTAATATTTCTAATAGTTACACATTCTTCTCCCTCTGTGAGGTACCTCTGGCATTAAGATTATGGCTGCTGTTTAGTAGAGATTAGCAGTTGTCTCAGCTCTGGTGTTGAGCCCACTGGTGTCCCTTGATTAGTCTTTTTGAAGCAGATGACTAGTAATTTATTACAGTGAATAAAATTTAAGTACTGAAGTTTGTGTGTGATTTATTTTCTATTTATATTTTAAATGTGAATTATATTGGCTTCCATGTTAGCCCTGTAATGCTGCTCTCATTCACTTGCATTGTTGTGGCCTTTCCTGGATGGGAGAGGGAAGGGTAGAGTTAAGCAGTTGTCAGATATTCAAGGGGCCAGCAGCCTACCTGTTTGTGGTGTAGTTCCAGAGAGCAGTAATTACTGAGGTTCCATTACTGGTTTGTTCATTATGACTTATTCTACAGTAGTGTCTGGGGTCTCTGATTTTATAGTTCCATCTTTTCTTTTCACTTTTACCCAAAGATAGTTATTCAATAAAGAATAAGGCAAGGCTACATGAAAAAAACTTGAGCAGAGTAATAACATACCTGTGTTGTGGAGGAGCAGGCATAATGCTATAATTATTTCTTAGGTAGGACACAAAAGTTATGATCACAAAATAGTTTCACGACGTGATAAGTTAGTGAAATTTTCAGGAACACTATTTGTGATAATGCTGATTATATAAAGTCAATACATTGTGATTTTACCAGTAAAATAAAACTTATGTTTATTCTTAAAATGTATAGATTTCTTTACTTCATCTATAGAGTATAGGTCTGAAAAAAAACCCCATCAAATTAAAAACTTCAAGTTCAATTAGAAATTTGATTAGTCACATTTATTTTTCTTTATAAAATAATATCAACATATCTTAGAGGCTGATTTCATTACTAATATGCTTACAAATTATTTAGTGATTGTCTTACCAAAAAAAAGGTTGCGGTGTTGTTTACTTTTATGGCATTTTTGGCTTTCGTAAAAATCTGAATATCACACACATGAATGTACATTGTTGATGAGCAAGTTAAGAACTCAGTATAATTTTCAAGACAAACTCAGAAGGTAATGTTTTTGTTTTTAACGTATCATTTCATACATATTGGTTGTACTTAAAAATTCTCAGTATTCATAGGAGCCATTTGTCATTTTTGATTGTGCAGAATTGAACATATTTATTTGGGGGAATTCCAAGGTAATTGGGAGAGAAGGCATCGATTTTCACTATGGAAGCCAAAAGGCTGGAGTAAAATCCTCACTCAGCCGTCTATCTTGATGAAAGTTTGGGCCTGAACCAGGCTCAGCTCATTAGGTGATCCATGTGAAGGGAGGCACAGGAAGTCAAAGGCCTTGTGGGTGGAGGTGAACCCAGCAGCACCAGTGCGGTGTCCGAGGAAGACTGCTCCTGTGGCAGTGCCTCACTTTCCTTGCTTGCTCTCCATTTTCTGGGCTTCACTCTCCATGCTTCTTGATGCTTCTGGGAGCTAGCTAATATCCTTCTGATATATCTCTGCTTACAGACATTTTCTTGTTTTTTGCAACCAAGAATCCTCATGAATAATGAGTCTATAAATTTCCATTGTTGTTTATAATACGCCAGGCATCCTTGTCATGGATCAGAGTTAAACTGTTTTCATATCCTGACTAGCTTATTTGTTAACTGAATGTTTTCATAAAGTATTTCATTCAGGTTCATAGAGGCCTCAGTACTACTCACTAGTGATCTCCCAATTTGTTACAAAAGTTTAAAGCTCCTCCTTTTGACTGCATTAGGTAGGAAAACTGGTTCCTTTTGATTTGCTATAGTTGAACCAAATCAACTTCAAAAATGTATATGATTTTACCAGTACAAAAATAATATTAATTATAACCTTTCATTTGCAGAATATATTGGACACAGAAGCTGCTGGTTGCCTCTGGGCTGCCCAGCTGATCATGCCAGGGGACTGTTATGGGTTGAATTGTTTCCCCCAAAAAGATGCTGAGGTCCTGTGGCAGGACTTCAGTCCTAACCACCAGTACCTGTGCATGTGACCTTACTTGGAAATAGGGTTTTTGTATATGATTAAAATAAAGTCATTAGTGGGCCTAATCCAGTATAACTGTTTCCTTACAAGCAGGGGAAATTTATACACAGAGACAGACATGCACAGAGGGAAAAGGATGTAAAAACATGAGGAGAATACCATTTATAAGGCAAGGAATGCCTGAGGCTACCAGAAAGTAGGAGAGAGGCCTGGAACAGATTGTCCCTCACAGCCCTCAGAAGGAACCAACCCTGCCAACTTTATCTCAGACTTCTAGCCTCCAGAACTGTGAGATGGTAGATTTCTGATGTATAAAGCCACCCAGTTTGTGCACTTTGTTACAGCAGCCCCAGGAAACTAATCAGGGGCCTTTCCTAATTTTGGCAAGCCTAGACATGCATCCATGGGATCACACAGTCCCTGAGGGAGCAACTTCTTCTAATAGACAACTATTAGCAGCCTAAACTTTCTTCTGAGAAACCCAGCTTACTCTTTGTTGCAAATAGACAACTATTAGCAGCCTAAACTTTCTTCTGAGAAACCCAGCTTACTCTTTGTTGCAAACTGCTGAAGGCAGCTCTGCCACCAATGGACTTAAGGTGTGAGATTGACCAAGATGTAACAACTGGTCTGTTGTGTCAACAGTATGCTTGAGGAAGATTCTTAGATGCACAGCCAGTTCAGATAAATTAGTTAAAATCGCCAACACTATCTAGCGTGGACATTTTTATTTTTAGGAAACCACTACAGGCCTCAAAATGGTTTCTATATTAGATTCTGTATGTGAAAGCCAGAAAATTTAGTTGTCTTGCTTAAAACACCCTTTATTTACTGTTCTACCTAAAAATTGCATGTATTGTTCTTCTCATTTTTTGGATGAGAAGGGGGATAGGGAGGGTTATAAGATGGCAAGGGGCTCATGGTCAAGGGAAACGATACCAGTGATAAACTGTCAAAGAGTTTTCCTTCACTCATAGTGTGTTGAGTTATAGGTGTTTTCTTGAGAGAAGAAATAACCACCAAAAACATGGAGCATATCTTTAATTTTACTGTTTGGAATCAACAGTTGCAAAGTGTTTTGAGGTCATTTCTTAAACCAGTGCACAATACATGCACACATATTTAGAAAACTTACAAAAATGTTTTTTAAAAATTTGTGCTCCAATAGAATTTATCCTATTTTACTGACCAAGCATAAAAAATATACTCCAAATACACCTTTCTCTAATTTTCCTCTTACAATCTTACTGACATTTGTTTATTTATAACTAATCTGTATATGCATAGAACTGAGGGCATTATTTTACTGCAGCAACCTTTATAAAGAGGTTATGAAATTTAAAAGTATATTTTGTATCAAGAGAACTTAATATTTGTAACCATTAAGAAACAAACATATTCCTTCTCCAAACCTCTAGCTGCTGTTTGCTCACTGTTTTTTAAGGTGAAGGTTCCCATTTCTTGCTGAATTATTTATGCAGTGCTGAGCAGGCTCACATGGTATCACTACTACCTTAAGCAAGGATTTGATCTTTGGGCATAAATCATTTCATCAGTCTAGGTGTTCCCTGAGCACCCATTCTGAGGGGCCCACTCCCGGGCAGGAGATCTCATATCTGTACTTGAGATGGACTTAGAGTGATTGTTCGGACATGGCGGCAGAGCTGACGTCAAACTTCTTACGTATGCCACTTTCAAAAGTCAACCCTTGTCTCCCCTCTGGGTTTTCCATAACCAGGATAGGGAGGGGAGAGAGTGTGTGTGTGACTAGGATAAGTACAGTGCTGGCATCTTGCTGGGGAGGAACAGGTGCAGGTTTAGAATTACACCTTGTCTTAGAAGGTTCTCTTCTCATGACATCTTCACGTTAAGAAGAAGGAAGGCAGGACTGATGGAATCTCATAAAATTATTAACAGCTAATACCATGTGTCAGGCTCTATGCTGCTCCTCAGCAAAAATCTATTTAACAAATCTAAATGCCCTTCAGCTCTTTCTCTTCTGTAATGTAAATCGGTCCTGAGTGGCCTGTTCTTCCCTTGTCTTCCTCCCTGCCCCTTGACTGCCTTTTGCAGTCTCCGGCCTTTCCCATTATCTGCGGCACCATTTGTTCCCTGATTCGTCAAAGGCACATGGGTGCAAGACAGAATGCTGCCCTATGTTTAGTCCATTAAACTCGTTATAACAACAGGAGCTAAAAAGGAAAAAAATAGAGACCAGAAATAAAGCAGACTTGTCATCCATGAGCTTGTGGCTATCGATAGTTATGAATAGAGGAGACCATTGAGTATCATTCTGAACAGTGATTGATTGGATATAGTTGAAAGAGTGCTGGGCTTGAGGTCAGAAGACCTAGGTGCAGGTCTCGGATCTGTCACTTTTAGCTGTATGACTTGAACAAGTCAACTCTTTCTGAGCTCTAGTTTCCTCTTCTGTCAAATGGGAAAAACAGTACATGTCTTGCCTACCAAAGAAAGATATGGGCATTAAGTAAGATAATGTGCTGAAAACTCCCTTGTAAATGATGAAATTCTATGTAAACATAAGTTGTTTGGTGGATTAGAATGGATATAAAGGAGGAAAATGATTTCTATGGTTTAAAATTTTTTAAAAAGTTATTAAAATTTGTACATGTAAACTAAAGATGGTTGGCCTTCCCCTCTTAGGGCCCATTTTCATTTCTTTTCCTGTGCGCTTGCTAAGTTGCTGATCCTGAGTGATAATGTCAATGTCTTCATTTATGACCCTCTAAGTTCAGCTTGTAGGAGCCTGCGAGGATGGTCTACACCATCACAAAGCCAGTTCCTAAAAGGCAGACTTGAATCTCACATGAGAAAAAATGCAGTTCCACACATTAATGGCAAGGAGAATTTTTGGCTATTGGTATAACACAATGATCACTGCCCAAAATGAAAGAAATATTAGAGAAAAGCTTCCATGACAATGACTTCCTGCAGAAAATTTGATCCGACCTTCAACTGCTGGATAAATTACTTTCATTTTTAAGATGTATCCAGAAACCACGTTGATATCTTGGTCACCTATAAAAATACATACATTATTTTAACTACAGAAAAAGTAAATATCAATTAACAAGAAGAGAGAAAACCAATGTATTTCTCTAAAGTCCTATGTATTTATAAGAGGGAAGATACTCCTTTCACAAGCAGGGATAAAGTGTCACAGAACACAAGAATAGTGGTGATCATAAGTGCAAAGAATTTGCTTTTTCATGTTCCATATGTGAAATGTGCCCATTGTTCAATATTGAATAATTGGGGGAAATAGAGTTGTCTCAGGTCTGAGATGACTCAAGAAAAAGACCGTTGACATCCTTGCCTTTGAACCACTCCAGAACAGGGGCATTAGGGAACTGGGTCACGAGCAATTAGTTGAGACATAAAAGTGGCTTCCTTTTGCTTGCCTGCTCAAGAATCATTTTCACATAATTGATAGTGAGACAATGGAGGCTTCGTTTCCAAAAGAGAGGAGAGCTGATCAAGAAATACTAATTGCCTATAACTACATCAAACTCACTGGGACCCAAGAGAATTTTGTTTTAAAAATACCACTCAACAAATCATATATCTGATAAAGGGTTAATATCCGAAATACATAAAGAACCCATACAACTCAATAGCAAAACTTCCCCAACAATCCAATTAAAAAATGGGCAGGGGCTGGCCCGGTGGCATAGCGGTTAAGTTGTCGCGTTCAGCTTCGGCGGCCCAGAGTTCGTAGGTTTGAATCCTGGGCATGGACCTACACACCGTTCATTAAGCCATGCTGAGGTGGTATCCCACATAGAAGAACTAGAAGGGCCTACAACTAGGATATACAGCTATGTACTGGGGCTTTGGGGAGAAAAAAGAAACAGGAAGAATGGCAACAGATGTTAACTCAGGGCCAATCTTCCTCAAAAAAAAAAAAAAAAAACATGGGCAGAGGATCTGAATAGATGTGTTTCCAAAGAAGATATACAGATGGCCAACAGCCACATGAAAAGATGCTCAGCATCACTAATCATCAGGGAAATGCAAATCAAAACCACAATGAGGTATCACCTCACACTTGTTAGAAGGGCTATCATTGAAAAGACAGGGAATAGCAAGTATTGGCAGGATGTGGAGAAAAGGGAACCCTTGTGCATTGTTGGTGGGAATGTAAATTGGTGCAGCCAATATGGAAAACAGTATGGAGGTTCCTCAAAAAATTAAAAGTAGAACTACCATATGATCCGGCTATTCCACATCTGGCTATTTATCCGAAGAAGACGAAAACACTAATTCAAAAAGATATATGCACCCCCATGTTCACTGCAGCATTATTTAAGCCAAGGTATGGAAAGAACCTAAGTGTCCATCGATGGATGAATAGATAAAGAAGATCTGGCGTATATATACAGCGGAATACTCTTCAGCCATAAAAAAGATGCTGTCATGCCACTTGTGACAACACGGATGGACCTTGAGGGTGTTACGCTAAATGAAATAAGTCAGACAAAGACAAATACTGTATGATTTCACTCATATGTGGGATATAAACAAACACATCTATAAGGAGAGATAGATTGGTGGTTACCAGAGGGGAAGGGGAACGGGGTATGGGGAAGGCTAAAGGAGTAATGGAGCACATATGTATGGTGATGGATGGAGACTAGACTTTTGGTGGTGAACATGATGCAATTTATACAGAAGCTGAAATATAATGATGTACACCTGAAATTTACACAATGTTATAAACCAATGTGACCTCAATAAAATAATTTTTAAAAATATGGTGTATATATGTATATATATATGCCATGGAATACTATTCAGCCTTAAAAAAGAATGAAATCTTGCTATTTGCATTTGCGACAATATGGATGGACCTCGAGAGCATTATGCTAAGTGAAATAAGTCAGAGAAGATGAATACCGTATGATCTCACTTATATGTGGAATTAAAAAACAACAACAAAAACCAAGCTCATAGATAGAACAGATTGGTGTTTGCCGGAGGTAGGGGGTGGGAGGTGGGCAAAATGGGTGAAGGAGGTCAAAAGGTACAAACTTCCAGTTATAAAATAAATAAGTCCTGGGGATGTAACGTACGGCATGGTGACTATAGTTAATAATACTGGATTGCATATTTGAAAGTGTCTACGAGAGAGTAGATCTTAAAAGTTCTCATTACAAGAAAAAATTTTTTTATAACTATATTTTTATAACTTTTTTTATAACTGTGGTAACAGATGTTAACTAGACTTATTGTGGTGATTATTTCACAATATATACATATAGCAAATCATTCTGCTGTATACCTGAAACTAACATAATGTTATATGTCAATTATACCTCAATCAAAAAATATATATATCACTCTAATACTTAAAAAAGAACTCTTTTCTCTGCAGTGGTTCTCACCCACGGGTATACGTTAGAATCACTGGAAGAGACTCTGCCCCAACCCAGTTAAATTAGAATCTCTTAAAAGTTGGGGCCAAGGTATTGGTATTTAATTAAAAATGCTCCCCAAGTGATTGTACTGTATAGCCAGGGTTGAGAACCCTAAGGCTGAGGCTTCCTCAGCCTTCTGTGTGAGTTCTTTCTCTCCAACACCCATCAGTCTGGGCTCAGCTGATGCACAGCCATCAGCCTCTTTGTCTCATGTGGGGCTCAAGAGGATACCTTTTTTTGTTGTTTGTTTTGGTGAGGAAGATTAGCCCTGAGCTAACATCTGTTGCCAATCTTTTTGCTGAGGAAGATTGGCCCTGGGCTAACATCTGTGCCCATCTTCCTCTACTATATATGTGGGACGCCTGCCACAGCATGGCTTGATAAGCAGTGCATAGGTCCGCACCTGGGATCTGAGCCTGTGAACCCTGCTCTGCTGAAGCAGAGCACGCGAACTTAACCACTACGCCACCAGGCCGGCCCCAAGAGGGCATGTTTTTAAGCCTGCTCTTCCATCTTCTATCGTGGAACGGACAGAAGTAGCCAGCACCTTTCTTCCCTGGAAGGGCTGCCTCCTTTGCCCTGGCTCTGCCCTCTGCCCGCCTTGGAATAAGCAGCTAAGATGGCAGGTCCACTATGGTAAGGCTGAGGAGGAACCTGGCTGAGCTCCTTCCTGGAGATGCAGAGCAGCTGTGCCTGTGTCTTGTAAGTAGCCTGGTTTCTGCTCTGGAGAAGAGGAAGGGGTAGTGTATTCTGTCAGTGGACTTTACGCCCATGAGGTGTTTCTCACTTGCACTTTTTTTGAGGCTGGGGTATAATGACCCTCAATCCTGCTGAAAATGTCAACTGGGGTCAAGTGTGGTTCTTCCCATGATTTGCTCCTCCAACCCACTGTGCTGAAAGGGGGGGTGCATATCCCATCCACTCCTGCCTGACCTATTCACGCTAAAAGCTTCCTCAAGAAAGTTTAGATGATTTAATGTGATGGTTTTCCATGTCCAACCTAAAGTTCTAGAGGTGTGGTTCTTCTGTAAGTGCAAAACTCATTTATATTTCACAATTTAAATAGCTATTTATATGTACCTAGAGTTTTAAAACATTTTTATTTAAAACGGTTTTTACCCTGGGCTTTGATGGAGGGCTATGTGTGCTAGGGAAGGGCGGGGCACATAGTTCCCAGTGCTGTGCTGCTGTTTTCCAGCAAACAAAGCAGGAGGGAGTTGGCAACCTAGCAGCAGGATCTGGTTTCTAGCTTTGCCCTCCTGGCATTGTGAGTAACTCCCCTCCTCAGACCAGTTCTGTTGCTCTTGAGTTCCTTTTGGGCAGGGAGAGGAAGGGACACGTGTGCTTACCAGAGTCATGTTTTAACACTTCGTCCTTTATCATCTGGAATCCGTCTCCACCATTGACAAGGAAGTTCGGGAGGATCACCTTATAGACCTTATCCATTCTGAGAGGCTCGTAACTGGGCACTCTACACTGGGTGCAAAGAACATCTAACTTGACCACTCTGTCCCCGGGTTTTCGGGAAAGATCATACACCACGTGAATTCCTAGAAAAGAAATGAGTCTTATGTTTTCACTGGAATCCAAAGGGAAATTTCTGTTTTCTATGAAAGGGATGTTGCCCCGAATCTGGAATTGGGGCACTAGGCTTGGTTTTCTTTTAGTTTGAGCTTGAGTGAAATTTCAGCAAGAGAGTTGAGGTGACACTGCAACTACCCTTTCTTGGTTAGGTTTATCCTTGTGTCCTTCTGGGAGGTCTGAGAACCACTGGGGGGAGAACTGGCTCTGGCCCAGGATGGGCAAGGTGTGACTCTGCAGGGAGAAGCCACATTTTCTTAAAATCCTGAATGAGCTGGTCCAGCAACACTGCTCTGTGGGCTTTGCAAAATGAGAAATAGAAAAGAGGTGCAGCACATTTGTTAAAGCTTTGAAGACTACTAAATGGTAATAATTTGGGTTTGGGTGACTTTGACAAAACAGACAGCTACCCAGCACTGTGCTGGAGCATCAACACACTGCTGTTCCCTCCACTCTTCCCTGGAAAAATGCAGAATGCTTGGGTTACCCACAGGCAGCAGGCTGGGGCCCCACCACCTTCTGCAGCCCCTCATCCCCATAGTGGGGTGTTCTACAGAGGGAAGACTAGACAGCAATCACGCCCATCAAGTGGGGCCCATCATCCACAGTCAAAAGATGAGGCCAAAATATGGTGTCAGAGTCAAATAAGCTTATTAATATTAATTTAGAGATTAATTCATTGGACTGTGGAATTAATTATTGAAAAAAGCATTTCCAAAGTCCTTGGCAATTTGTGAAGCATTTATTTTCATTCAATTTTCACTGGAATCTGTGAGATGAGCACAGCAGGTTTTCTCACAGCACTCAGAGAGGTTGAAAACTTGCCCCAGGTCACAGTGGAACCAGAACCAGGTGTTCCAATGCATCTATGCAGCAGGCTGCCCCTCCCAGAAATCATCCTTGTTAATACTGATTGGACACTGCACTCCTTTGAACCTCTGTACGGTTCCAGGCAATTATGACTAGAACAGAGGAGGAATTTTTTTTTTTTTTTTTTTTTACAAACAATACTGAATGTTTAAACTACTAAGATTTTAACAGAAACTAGACCTTAAGGCAGCTGACCTGCTTAGGGTTTGTAGGGCCAGTTTCTGCAGAGGGTCCATCTAATGTCCAAGTCAGACTTGGCAAATACTGCTCATTGCCAGGGCCTTGGGGCTTTGACCCTGACCTAATCTCAGGGGTCTGGGAGTCCCTGACCACTGGAAGACTATGCACTGTTGTTGGGTGGGGGAAAACCCAACCAAGCCTGGCCAGGGAGGTCCTGGTGAGTGGGGAGCTGAGCCAACCAGCAGGACATCCCACCTCATCTTGGAGGGTGACTTACCGCCCACCTGCAGGAACTCTCCAGTGGACTGGCCGTAGCGGTGCACACTGTGCTCAAAGGCCTTCTTTAGGGTGGAGCCTTTTAGTTGGACCAGGTCAAAGGTGCCTCCAAAGGGCATCACAGCAGCCAGGTTCTCCCAGGTAATCGTGCCTGAGGGTAGTCACAGATGAGGCAAGAAAGAAAACAGCTTGAGAACAAGCTTACCCCAAGACTAGTTTCCCTTAGGACTGGCGGAGGAAGTCAGGAGACGGGGCCTTTGGGGGCTATAAGGACAGCATCAGCTGTGTCTAAGTGGTTCCTGACACTTAGGGAGGGAATGGATTCGCGAGCCCTTCAGCTGTGCCCTCCAGCAATGGGCAAGATGGTGGGACCTTCTAAATGGCTGTGGCTTCAGAGTTACCTGTGCTCTGCCCTGGATTTCCTGGCTTGAGGCTGAATTAAGCATTGCTCAGTTCCACCAGAGAGGCAGTGTGTCCCTGCCGCCTGTCCCATTTGACGATGAGACGAGCTTGGGCGTACACTGAGACTGACTGGTATTGGCAATGTGTCAGCGGAGACCGTAAAAATGTCTTGAGTATCTGTCTAGTTGGGTTGTTTTTCCATATGATATAATCCTGGATATCTATAAATGCACCAAAAGAATTCAATCCAGTGGAATGTTTTTTTCAGCACAGAAGATTGGCAATTTTGCCTTTCTCTTTCTAGATATCAAGGTGGAGGCTGTCAATATTTTGCATAAATCAGCAACGGTTTAGCTTTGTGAGTCAGATGTTTAGGTAAGCTTGGGTTCCACTAACCCTGGTGCTGCGCCTGTGTGTGCATACATACGAGAACACACCAGCGTGTGTGTGCCCTTCGGGGAGGCACTGACGTGAATGGCAGTTAACACATTGAAGGGACTGACATTGTGATATGTGGCTGGCAGTAGAGATGAGCTGAGGCTGCCCATGGTCAGAGGGAGAACACGCTGAGCCAAGGACCCTGAGCCCAGGAAGCATACCATTGTTCCGCTCGTCAATGGGCGACCGAATGCCACCTCCGTTTAAAATGCACATGGACACATGGTTCCAGGACACTTCATCCGAGTGTCTAAGGTTGTTGTTAATCTGCAACAACAGATTAATCCAGATTAAATTATAAACAGATTGAATTCAGTAGCATGAATTTACATTAGTTATGCTGGGTCTTCTTCCTTAGGATCACTTCCAGGAATCTGGATAGCTCTACCGAGGAAATAAAGCTGCTTCCCCCTGCTCCTGTGTTCCCAGAGATTTCTCAAGTATAATTAGTCAGAATGAGTTTTATGCTCTGAGAAGCAAAAGTAAGATATTGTGACCAGTCCTATGTCAGACCTTTAGAAGCAAGGAGCTCTGAGCCCCCTCTCCTAAGACCACTGTACTCTCAGGCCGGTGGGCCTTAGCACAGCCAGCTCTTGTGGTGTCAGGACGGGGCCTCCGTGCAGACTGGCCTCCTCCAGGGCAAGCCCACACTTGCACCTCAGGGCAGGACCCAAAAGCCTGTCAACTCCAGACCTCAGGTCAACAAGAACCCTGGCCTCCACATCTGGATCCCAGGCCAGTTCCCAAGTTGGCAATTTTGGAGGTACAGAGACAACCTCCTAAAACTGGAGAGAATCAGTTTCATTCTTACTTTTCTTTTACAAAATATATATTTAGTTACAAGAAATAAAATGAATACATTCTCATTTGAAAAAAAATAGTGCAAAAGCAAAAGTTTTCTTACACTGGTCCCAGCCTCTAAACAGAGAGGTAAGCACTGCTAACAGCCTGGAGTGTTTCCTTCCAGACGTTTCTCTAAACATTCACATACTAGCTTCTCTTTAGCTACTTCTCTTGCACTGACTGCATGATGCTGAGGAGCCAGCATTGGTCTCACCTTGGAAAGCGTGGATGTTGTCATCTACCTGACAGACATTTGTTGAGTGTGCCTATATCCCAGGCACTGGGCACTGAGCACAAAGAAATGGCCCCTCTGGTGTGGGCTTTGAGCCCATGGGAGTGGTGGGTCTGACCTGGGAGACCTTGGCTCAGCATGGCTCCTGGGGGGCTGCCAGGGCCAGTCTGCCTGCAGACAGGTGGACAGAGGGGTGCTTTCCATGGGTGATCTTGCTGCGCCACAGGACTTATTATTGTCATTATAACTGCATGTTGTCACTCTCCGCTTGTGAAGGAGGTTCCAGTCACACAAGGCCTAGTTCTCTGGATCCAAGAGGACACATCAGTGAAACAATCAGGCCAAGTTAGGCCCAAGCAGACGTGTTTCATCTACTATGTCTATATCTTCAGAGTAGGAGAGTTTGTGTATTCAGATCATCTTACAAAAGGAAAGCAACACCCGAAATTCAGACATCCAAGATGAACACCTTAAAATAAAGGCTTAGTTCTTGTTAAGCAAAAAAGTGAAGGTCAGCTGGTCTGGTTCAGGCTCCTTCCCAAGGTAGTCAGTATGAATCCACGCCAAGCTTTTCTCTGGGCACTAATTTTCTAAAATCCTCAGTTTTATATCAAGTTGTCCGTCCTTGCATCCTTCCTCCCTCTCCCCTTCTCCCTTTCCTCCCTCCCTAGGCATAGGCCGTGCATTGCTGAGGACCACTCACCATAGCATCACAAATCAGGTTGCCCATGTTGCATTCCTTAAAGCGGCATGATTGAGTGGTGCCGTCCAGATAGACAAGTGTTCTCCCCAATTCCTGGGTAGAATAATTTTCTAATTTTATCCGCCATTGGTTAATGTCTGCTTTTATGCTTGGATCTAAAAGAAAGCAAAAAAAAAAAGAAAGAAAAAAAAGCCTGCAGTGAAGGCAGACCTCACATTGGCCTAAATTTTGGAGAAGAAATCAAACATCATTCAGCCTACCTGTTGTGAATATACATTTCTTTACCATATTTGTGTACATTTTGGTTTTGACTGTGAAATTTCCTTAGCAACCTCTATTCTGTTTCTTGGTGATAAGACCTGGAATGGATCTTAACTTAAAGGCGTGCTGAGTATCCTAACATCATGACATCTGTACGAGTGCCTCTGGCCCACCTGGGATAGCACTGGTGGTGGTGGGGAGCTGAAAGGCCCAAGGACAGGCATAAAGGGCCTGCTGAGGTTCTCTGCCTGTGTGGTCCCTCCCTCTGGCTATTCAGAGGCCTGTGTTGTGACCACAGGCTCTCCAGGGCACTGTGGACCTCGCTGCCCATACTTCCCTGATCTGACCATGGTAAGCAGTAAAGGGCAGGTGAGAGAGAAGCGTAGATGTCTGCTCATGTTCATACTATATAAAAATCAATGACAAAAATGTATTTTTACTCTGAGTCCCAGAGCAAAAGGTAGGACAGACACTCCCTCTGATAAATGAAGAAACTGAAGCCCACTGAGACTGGGCAACTTGCCCTAGGCGCACTGCTCCTGGTGGCGGGGCCAGGATGGAGCCCTGCTCCACCCAGTTTGAACCCCTTTGCTTCAGTCATGAACCCTCTGGACATGAGCTGAGGTGGCTTTCCCATGGCAGGGGAAAGCCTGAAAAGGCACAGAAGCAGTGACACAGTGTCTGATGCTGACAGGACTTGGAGAAGCAAATGGGGATTTGGGGCATTTGGATGTGTTTTAAATGTTATGCATGAAGAGGGTCAACTCAAGGAAGAAGCTCCGTTCTTCAGAAGTATTATAGGCTTGTCCTGAAACACTAACCGAAAAAAAAAAAAAAAAAGATGGGGGGTGGGAATCCAGCCATCTAATTTTTGGATTGGTAGACCATTGCCCTGAATCTCACGTACCTTCAGGAATGCTGCTGTTGAGAAGAATGGGATTTCCATGTGAAGTGATGACATTTCCTTTTCCATCAAACTCAACCTTCAGATAGCCTAGGTATTTGCCAAAAGCATAGGCCTGGACCACAGGAACCTCTCGTCCATCATCGGAGATGACTATGAATGGGTATTTCCCAGCGGGCACCTCTTTGGAAGGTGGATTGCCTAAAATAAAAGAGCCGAAGCTGATCAAGTCAGCCCTTGTACATGGCTGGGTGCAGGCCACTGGCCACTGGCCAGATGACAGTGAGTTTGAATTGATGACTTGCCAGCTGCTGCTCTACATAGCTGGTCTTTCAGAGCCCTGCTTGGGCATCTGCCCATTTCCGAATGCCCTTTTGGCACACGAATCCTTCCATTCTCAAGTCAGCAGGCATTTGCTAAGCTCTTCCTAAATCCAGCGCCCTGTGCCTGGTGCCGTGGGGGACATGCAGATGCACTACTGCTAAGATTATCCTGTCTCCGTCCTGACCCTGGGTCCACTCTCACTAGCCAGGTGGAAGGGCCAAGCCACTTCACTTCACTGTACTTCAGTTTCCTCACCTGTAAAATGGGCGAAGTCACAATTCCTATTTCACAGGGCTGTTGAGAGGATCAGATGTCTAAACTCCCTAGTGTAGTGCCTGGCGCACAGTAGATACTCAGTAAATGTATATTTCTTTCCCTTATGAGGTGATGGTAACCTCTAGAAACTCGACACACACACTCCAGAGCTCAGAATCTTTAATGGAAGATGAGCAGAAATGACAAAGTGCTGTGCTCAGGTTTTGCTGCTCAATTCTCAGGTGCCTTTTGGAAGAGCCACATTCACCCTGGCGACCGACCAGCACGCACACTACCCGCCCCAGCCAGACCTCACACTGGCCAAGTCCTGTTGGCTTCTGTCTCACAGGGGACCCCTGGGGAGAGTGTGGGAGCCACTCACCCAGAGGCTGATAGGCCCACCCCACCACCACCTCCTGGACACCCGCCTGCATGAGGGTGGCCAGCCCGGCCACACGCAGCATGGGCCCTGGCCTCCCACCACTCGGCACGCTTCAGATCTGCACCTGCTCCCCTCCTTCGGGTGCCCTGCAGTTCATAGCTTACCTCCAGAGACGATGACTTAGTGCGGGCTGTTTTGAATCAGAGACTATAGAGCAGATCCTCTTGACCCATTACTGCTTCTATCATCTCCCTCCCCACACTCATGACCAGTCCTTCCTATCAGACATTTACAAAGGGCCTAGGGACTTCGGCACGTGCTGGCTACTCCCATGAACCGTCATGAGAGTCGGCCAAGAGCCAGGCCCTGGGCTACATCTCGTTTAACCCTCCAAGCATCCTATGAGGCAGGTCCTATTATTATCCCCACTTTACAGACGAGAAGACTGATTGTCACAGGCAGTGTGCCCCAGGTCACACAGCTAGTATGTGCCAGAGAGTGGGTTGAAAAGCAGGGCTGTGAGACACTGGAGCTTATGTCCTCTCCACTACCCCACAGCCCACAATGTGCTAGTCTCCTGAAGCTGCAACAGCTGGTTGCCAAAGGCCACTTCCCAAATCAAATGCAAGCCCAGGGGCTGCTCCTTTGTGCCCCATGCTGTTTCTAATACAAGCTGGGGTGAATGTTCTGAAAAGCCCACTTCTGCTCTGCTCCTATGCCAAGAGCAGCCCCCTTCCAGCTCCATGACCACACAGCAGAAGTGTGCAAACACCAACACTTCACAAGCAGGAAAGAGCTGTTGCCAACCTTAACTTCCCATTTTCTTGCTCCCTCTGGGAAAAAAAGTCTTGGAACTTTATTTTTACAAAAGCACTGACTAGAGATCCAGTGCAGGCGTTGTCCTATCTTCATTTGCCGCGTACAGCCTCATAGGCGACGGGCGGATGTTGGCTATGACAGTCGCAGATGATCTGATGCATTGCAGAACAGCAGGGAAGGTTAATATTCTCATCATCCCCATTCCGTTCTGTGCTGGTCCTCGTTTGGGCAAGCCTGGAGACTGGTCTTTACTTCAGGGGACCAGGGAGTGTGGTAGCCCCCTCCCTCCTTCTCAGCTGGCGAAACGTAGGGAAGGTGGTTCCTCCTAGGAGCCAGGAGAAGCTGGGGAGGTGCAGTTCCCAATATGTCCATAAGGTGGCGCAGAGCAGCCCGTTCAGGAGGGAAAGGTATTAAATCTGTTTCAGAAAAGGCGGAGTCTGGCAGTTTTCCTGGAAACCCAAGAGACAGGAAAGCCTGACTTTTTTTAGCCTTTATTTTTCCACCTTCCATAGACATATCCAAACTTTGTAAACAGAATGTAAAAGTCAGGAATCCACCCATTCGGTCAAATGCCACATCAGATCAGCTTGCACTCTACAAACAGGAGCCACCCCCCAGCTCCCGTGACAGGGACACGCTCCAGTTCTGAAAGGCCTTGCTGTTCCTTCTGTTAGAACAAAAGACGTGTCATTTGCATCTTAAACGGACTTAGGAACAAGGAAGATGCTTCCCATGTGGCTGAGGCAATAGCTGGTCTAGTTTGAGTAATGTCCACCTCTCCACAGCTGAGTCCTCTCTGCTCCCCTCAACTCGGCAACCCCAGAAACCACTGGCAGAGAAAGCAATCCAGGCTTCACATTTTCCACACCAAATTCCATCTATTCAGCCAAAGATGCTCATGCCCAAAATATTCTCTCCACGCGGAGCCACACATTTGTCTTTAGAAACCCAACTTGTCATCTTGGCGAGAGAGCAATTATTCACCAGAACTCTATTCTAGCCTTCTACCAAATAATCTGGGAACCAAACCTGGAGAAGCCGTGGAGCTGTGGGCTCACATTTAGAGTTGGTGAACGGGGCATTTCCTAACGCAGTGCCGGTGCCTCCGGAAACCTAACGGGTCCTGCCCTGGGAGCCCTGGCTGTGCAGCCCCTTGGGAATGTGATGGTTCCAGTGCGGCCTAGGCACTTGCCCTCCAGTGGCCAGAAGGGGCCGAGAGGGGGGATCACGTGGTGACAGAGGTGCCAGGGAGCAGGCCTTTGACCTGGTTTTCAGTTGGCTGAATGAGTTATAGAATGTTTTAAGGCAGTCCATGCTATGATTTTAATGTATATGGGAACCAGTATAAGAATTTCCCAACTTTCTACAAAAGGACTGGATAAAAATAATTGGTAATTAGCATATTGCACATCATTACTTCTAAGGGACTTGAGTCTCTCTTTTAAATTACTTGGAAGTGTTCGCTTCCACCAGACACTGCTTTTATCCGTCTACGTCAGGACAGGTCCTCAGGCAGGCAGTCTTGGTCACCGTGATCCAATCTCGTGCCTGGGCTACTGCGACTGCCTCCTAACTGGTCTCTGTATGTCTCTTCTTTGCCTCTTTCTAATCCAGTCTCCACACAGCAGCCTGAGTGATCTTTCTAGAACATAAATATGATCATGGACTCCCTGGTTTAAAATATTTCCTACTGGCCTTAGGAAAAACACTACGAGTTCTGACGTGACTCTCATAACCCATCAGACCCACATGATGTGGCCCTTTCTTCTCTTGCCAGCTTCATCCATACCATCTGCCCTACACCTCGGCAATCGTAGCCTCTCTCATCCTGAGACAACAGCCACCCCCAGAGCCTTCAAATGTGGGGTAAGACCTGGAGCCAGAGGCCTACATGCAAATCAGTTACATCTTTTAGCTTCAGTTTATTCATCTGTGAAAGGGAGACAATAACAATACCTGCCTCACAGGGTTGTTGAGAGGATTAAAGAAGTTAGTGCAGCAAGTGGAGCCAGCTCAGGAAAACGCTCAAGAAAGATCAGCCGTAAACAGTTACCAGGTGAACGCCTGGACGTCGGTCTGATCTCAGCCCGAGGTCGGTTCCGCAGGAGACCATCTCTGATGACGATGCCCCAGTCTTGGTTAGGTCCTCCTATATGTGCTCTCACAGCATCTTGTACTTCTCCGTTCATAACACACTTTGTAATTATATAGAATATGATTGACTTATTTGCATACTTAAAAAAAAATCAAGATCCCTTTCTAGACTGTAAGTTCTGTGCGAGCAAGGCTGCTGTGTCTCCAGGTCTGCCCAGCACATAGAAGGTACTCGATAAATGACTGTTGAATGACTAAGCTCAAGTAGTTTAGCCAGCACGTTTGCCTGGATCAGACAGGATTTTTGTGCTTTCCCTGTGGTGCAGTCCATATGCAGAGGGGAGCAATGCCTGGGTGCCCACCCCTTCCCCCAACTCCCCTCAATTCAATTTCCTCAACCGATGAGCTGGGTGGGGCTCGTAAAGCTAACCAGAGCTGGGAGTCAAGAGAATGGGGTTTGGGTGCTAGCTCAGTTTCAGTCTGGTTTCCTGACCTCAGGAGAGACATTTACCTCCTGGGGCCTAAATTTATTTCCTAAATTTGTAAAATAAGAGATTTGATTAGTGGTTTAAACCAGAAGAGGTTTAACTTTTCTTTTTAAAGCAATGAGCATCTTTTGCACACAGGAAATCAGGGCAGTGCGAGCCATAAAGCAGGCTGCTCAGGCAGTGCAGGTTGAGGTGGGCTGGGGCTGGAGTCCAGTTTTAGAGCCCCTGCCTCATCAGGGCACAGTGTGGAGACCACTGGCCGAGATGCCCTCCATGCCCAGGCAGTCACGCCAGTTGCCATGTCCCCTGCCTCTGGTACAGGAGCAGCCTTGACAGAGAGCTCTCTCCTGGCTTCACAGCACAGTCAAGAGGCGGTTCACGACCAAAGAGGCAAGTCACGGTCCCTCAGCCATCTCCGTACCCAACCGTGATGCACCAGTTGTCATGTCTCCTTTAGGGAACTCAAGGGGCCACGCAGTATTCTCCATATCCAGACTGTGTCCCTTTGTTTTGCACATGCTTTGATTTACTGCTCAAATTCTTGTTCTTGAACATTCAGTGATGACTGGGAGGTCCAAAAGAGATTATACATCTTCAAGTAGTTCCCAGAGTGGGTACAAAACCCTCATGAAATCCAATCCGGGCTGTCTGCCTGTACCCAGTCCTGACAGATTGGGCAAATAAGGGAGCCTTGTGGGGTGGGAGCAGGCTCACCACACATTCATTCACTCACTCAACAAACATTTTCAGAGCTCCAACAAGTGCCCAGTGTTCTGGATCTCCACTGGCCCACGGGGCTGGGCCTCAGGTCCTTGCTTCATCTTTATGAGGCCAGGAGA